ACAACACTATGTGCAATGAGAATAAAAACAAAATCAAGTTATAATTGATTACAGAACAACACAATGATCAAATGACTGCTTTGCCATACCAAAGGACTGGAATAATTATGTTTACACCTAGAAGTGGGAAACATATAGCAATGGTGGCATAGATCTTTTCATAAGGCAAGACAAAAGGGAAATGTTTCATGCTGGCATTGTGAGTGATAGAGACAGACTGGATAGGAATCTGAATCCATTTGTACAAGTGCTAGTTCTAACTGGATGAAGAACATTATTGAAGATCTTCAGGTACCAAAATGTCTTGAATCAGCAAAAAGAGAAAGGTAAGTTATTGGAAAGAACATTTCATAATGCCAGTTCTGCAATTGTCAAAGTTTTATTTCTTATGGCTATGGCCTGATCTTTCATTGGGAGGCAGAAAAGTCTCAGAAGCTGGGTGGATAAATAACTTGTTGCTAAAATTGGATCTGGAAGTTGTCTGCCTAGATATTTGTGCTAAAGGAAAGAGCAGAGAGATACTAGGAGAAGTCAAATTTCTTTTATTTTTAAAAGCACCCTGTCTGCATCCAGAAGCAATCTAGAGTGCCAATTTTCTTTCTACAATCATAACTGGAATTCTGTACCTTCCTCCAGATTGCTTCAGCAAGCAACAGATTGCAATGAAGACAAATCCTTTTCTGGATTTGTGAGAAATGAATGTGATATGTTATTTTGAATATATATTAATAAGAAGAATCATATGCATTAATTAACTGATACTGTTTATGATTATCGTTTATTACACTTATTACAGTTACTTATTACTATATCAACTATTGTTAACTGAACATATGTACCCAGACAATAGTCTGTTTGTATAAGATTGAAAATGTTATTAGGGGATAACCCCAATGTCGACCCGAACCCCCCCAACACCAATCCTGATCCCAACCCCACCCTAAACCTTAATCCTTATCCTGACCCTATTCTATCCCTAACCCTATAAAACTCAATAAAATAAAATAAAAAAGACAAATCCTTTTCTGGCAAGCTTCCGAGTTGTGGAAATAGGTAACCCTGTTTGAGAACAAATGTGAGAATATCCTATTTTACCCAAAGGGAATGGGTTTGGATAATTCTCTCTTGGCACTTTTCATTACCTTCTGAAGTGTTCTCCAAAAGATTCTCAAATTCTCTTGTAAGATGAGAGTTCCCAAGAGATCTACATGGGGAGAAAGATAGAATTGCGCCCACTTGCTTCTTTCTTTCCTGTCGGTACATGGAAGCTTTGGTCAGCAGAACACACCAGTTTGATAACAGGTCATCCTATGTAATAAAATGCCCAGTTTGAATATAATCTTGTCTGGAAATGGGTTTGTTAACTTCTTTTGCCACATTCATTATTAAACAGTGATATATTTAGAGCTGTCGTTATTTTGGGTATATTTCTTTTAAAAAATACCATTCTTCCTATCCATTCTCTCTTTTGGTTTACAGTCTGCATTTCTGCTTCTTGAAGAACAATTCTGTACTAATTGGCTTCTTCTTTCAGGACTGGTTAAAAGTGACCAGAGACGCGATTAAAGATTTATTGTTCGTACTGAATAGAGGAAAATGACAACTGACTAATACTTTTCTAAGGAGGTTGATAACATCAGTTACAAATAATATAGCTTACCTCTATTTTTAGCCTCAGTCTTGGAGAGGTTTACCCTACGTTGGGATTCAAATCAGATTCAAATCAGAATTGGCAGAGAAGCTTGTGTGAAGCAAAGAATGAATGACCTACATTATGAGTCAGTCAGTTTCCAAGAGGCAGAAAGGCAACTCATTCTCCTGACCAGCTGGAGTTATGGCTGAAAAGAGGGATGATGTCCCCAAAGGCCTAAGGATGATCCCCCCCCACAAACATTTTTGCTGGTTTGTGTGGTTTTAAGGATGAAAATGTGAGCAAGGTGCCTGTGGGAGGCAAACTTTCGCCATTTCCATTTTTCAGACCCCAGATTCCCCAAACTAAATGACACCATCAACATTCAGTTGCAAAGAGCTTAACATTTTGTGTCATACTGTTGGGCTATTTGGAAGGAGAGATTAAAGGGTGAAAATAGGAACAGATAATTTATTTTTTAAACGTATTACACATCTTTTATTGAGGAACCAAAGGCAATGTATATAGTGCTTTCTCCTCCTGTGATTTTCCACAACAGCAACAAAATCTTTGAAGTAGGCTGGGGTCAGAATAAATGATTGGACCAAAGGCACAGAGTGAGCTTTCATGCCTGATGGTGAACTGGGTTCTGGGTCTTCCCATTCATAATTCAGTACTTTAACAATTACATTTTATATCACTTTGTTATTTGTATGTACACTGGGAGTTTATGCACTGAACACAAATTCCTTGTGTGTCCAATCACATTTGGCCAATAAAGAATATTTCTTTTCTTTTCTTTTCTTTTCTTTTCTTTTCTTTTCTTTTCTTTTCTATTCTATTCTATTCTATTCTATTCTATTCTATTCTATTCTATTCTATTCTATTCTTGTAAACTGTGAAGAAGTCTTGTGATGGAGCAGGTCATTTGTGATGGAGCAGGTCATTTGTTTCCCAGAAGGCCTTCCGAGTCTTCCTTTTCAAGATATTTTTAAATTTTATTTCTTTGCTTCTTGTTTATTGTCTAAGCCAGGGGTAAGCAACCTTGGCTCTTTTATGACTCATGGACTTCAACTCCCAGAATTCCTGAGCCAGCCATGCTGGCTCAGGAATTCTGGGAGTTGAAGTCCATGAGTCATAAAAGAGCCAAGGTTGCCTACCCCTGGTCTAAGCTGAACAAGAGATGTTAAAGATTGGCATTTACATTCTTTGTTCCACAAACCACTAAACCAGAGCTGGCTTCTGGAAGGTTCAGTGATGAATTGTTGTATGAAATTACTGTGATTGCAGTAGTCATTCACAACAAAACTGGAAAGAATGAGAGAGGGATAGCATTAATTGCTTTAATAGATCTTTTTTTATTAGTAACCCCAACTTATTAGTCTAACACAACCTAATACAATTATCAAAATTATAGAAATTATGAAATCTCATGTGTTCCTGTGATATCTTAAACATCCCTAATATGTGCACCCCGACCCCTCAAAAGTCCTTCATTGTTAATCCAAATGACTGACTGAAGGAGAAAGTAGGTAGATATTTCAGAAAGAAAATTAGAGTGATATGTGAAAAAAGGGTAGAATCTTGAGTTGCTTGCCAAGCTACATTTATGAATGGGATTTTCTGAAAGATTGTCAGGAAGAGAAGTTATGCCTGTTTTCCATAAATAGTTTATTAAATTCTCCCAAAGCTGGCAAGTAACATTCTGTCTCATTTGTCTCCTTTATATCACACTATTGAACTGCAACATAATATGTGTTGATTTGTGTGTTTCTATATTGGAAAATTCATATTTATGATGTCAGTGAAGTCAGATCTAATGCGGTGCTTCTAAGGTTGTATTTGGACAGAAAAATAAAATGCAATACTCTTTGTATTTTGCACTGCAGACAGCAGTGCATTCTTTTGTTTAAACCCTTGAGGAAAGTGTGTTAGTTTTTAAGAGAACGTGGAGTTTTTCATGGAATATTGATCGTTACTTTGGGAAGACTAGACACACTCTAGAGAAAAATACTAAAGTCATAAATAAATAATGCAAAACATTGGCAGTAAGAAGCCAACAAGAAAATTGTAAGGCTGATACACTATTTGATAAGTAAGTACATAGACTCTTAAAGCACTTTTGTATTTGAGAAGTTTAATTGTGCTGTCATTGTTGAAGAAATGATGCATGTATACTTTAAATATTGAGAGAGATGATAAACACTTTTGATGATTTCAAAAACATAGACTTGGTAGATGGCTACTTGTTTTACTACTCAAAGAGGTAAATTAGTTCAAGAGGAAAGATGTTATTATTATCAAGCAAATGAGGGGCCACTCTTCAGTGCTCCATTAATGATTACAGTTTTGAGTATAGCTTTTTTGCCTAGGTATTCTAAGGTATCAAGGTTGATTGTAATTGCAATGCAGATAAGCAGTTATGTTCATAATTATATGAATAACACTTGTGAGCTCATTTAATGTTTCTAAGCCATAGGCTTTAAATGATAATATTCTGTTGCTTTCCTCCTTCTTAATTAAAAGATTTTAACCATCTATATAAATATTAGTACTTTGTTAATTGGTCCAAACAGTTCAGAAAATGGTATTGTGCATTTTATTTAACTAAGCAGTATTTTTTGTTAAAGTTTATTAAGGCTCAAGTATTTTGGTTCCCCGAAAAAGCTACATTTCAGAACTAGTCGTCACCTATATCATGTTTTTGCAGAAGTTATAAATGATGAAGTGAATAAATGAAATTCTCAAGCTATTCTTTTGTTTTATCCTTTGCACCCAATAATTAGTATTAGGATGTCAAGGCAAACCATGATTTATAAAACTACACCTTTCTTTTTAATGATTAAAAGATGCCAATTTACAAATCTGTATTGAACAAATAGAAAATAAACCATTTTATTTTAAACCTTTAAGAAGCTCTTGCTTTGTTATCTTTGACCATTGCTTCATCAGCCATCAATTTCAGGAATTGCACTTTTAATACAAAAATGGGTAACCTTTTTTTCTGATTAGGGACTATACTGATTATTCAAAAGAAAAAAGTTGATTATTGCTCATATGAGCTAATTTTATTTTAAGTACAGCATCACAATGAATTATTGAATTAAAACATGTTATATGAGCTATGCCCCAATAATTTTTAAAATCTTGTATTTCATCTGATTCTGGAAAATCAATATTCTTTTGTCTTTAATTGTTCAGTTTCAGAGTTAGAAACAGGATGTATGGTGGTTTGATTTGCCCCTGGGTTGCATTTATCATTTCTATTAATGCTTTTTATACTCAACATCAATTTTTTAAAAGGCTTTTTAAAAAAAACAACAAAAACAAAGTTGTTACTTTTCTCTAACAACACCATTTTGCTTTACAGGATTTATGAACGGGTGATAGATCGCCCAGAAACAAATCTGACTCCAGGAAGCAATTTGTGGCTAGGACAACGCAACAGAAAACATGGCTTTTTTAAGGTAAGGATGCAAAACACAGCCACAGATGAAAAAGCAATAGAGTGAAACTTGAAATACTTATTGCTATTTCAAATAATAGTTATTTTTCTCTTTGAATGTGTATTTGTATTACAAAAGATAAGAGTGCTTATAGAACTTCAGTCATTTGCACTGATTGTGTGCAATATTTCTTTCGGACAGTATTTTTATTATAACATGCAGTAAATATCCTATATTAACATTCTCCAACTTGGCACTCTTTAGATACGGTGGGCTGCAAACAGCGTAATTCTTAGCCATCCAAATTCCATAATGCTATATTATTTGGAGGTGATGGGAATCATACTTCCAACATAAATCTAGAGACACCAAGTTGTGAAAGATCATACCCAAAATACATTATGGGTGGTTACCTAGGATAGTAAAGACAATGAGTCCTAGCTACCTGACAGTTCCTGGATAACCCTGGATCATCCCAAATTGTAGAGTTAGATGTGGTTAGTGTTTGAAAAAGAGACCACCAGGAATTCCAAGGCTGTAATTTAGACTAGACAAAAAAAAAAAAAAAAAAGGAAAACATCCCATAAGCATGGGGACCCATAGGGGGCGAGAAAGCAAATGACAAAATGTGCCTGGATATGTTATCACACAAATGCCTCAGTGTATGTACTGACATCTGACATGGTAGCACAGGTACATAAAGGTGGCATTTATGGCGTGTCTATGCACGTGTATAATTTTGCCATTACTGTGGGTGGCTGAAGACGCTGCTACCCAGAAAAAGCAAGAGGGCTGCTCATGAAATCACCAAAGGAACCGTGGTGGCACAGTGGTTAGAATGCAGTACTGCAGACGACTTCAGCTGACTGCCGGCTGACTGCAGTTTTGCAGTTTGATCCTCACCTGCTTCCATCCTTCCGAGGTTGGTAAAATGAGGACCCGTATTGTTGGGGGCAATAGGCTGACTCTGTAAACCGCTTAGAGAGGGCTGTAAAGCACCGTGAAGCAGTATACATCTAAGTGCTATTGCTATTTATAGGAAACAATGTATTCCTGTGTTTCCTTTCTAGTTTCATTCATTGTTTGGGTTATATAGGTTATACAGGGAATGTTAGCTGAATCTTACTGATGCTGCTGGAATCTTTTGGTTTAATCTGCACATGGCCAAAATATGTCCACAATTGCATCAAGGGGCTAAGGGGCTTTCCACAAACTGCCTTCAGGTGTATTGGATCTGCAGTCCTAGAACTCCCAACCAATCATCCCAATATACTGTATCCGAAAAGCACTAGGCTGGGGAGAGTGCAATTAATATTAGAAATGCATTTCTACAAATCCAGCTGGTACCTATATATGTCAGCCAGCTCAAATATTTCCACTGATTGTGGCAGTGGTACAAAAATGATTTTATTAATCTATCAACAGAGCAAGTGTCAGTGATGAGATAGTCCTTAGAAGAAGAAGTTCTGCTTTGTCTATTTTTTCCAAAGCTGGCAAAAGCAAAGGATTCCCTCCCCCCCCTCAACTTGGAATCTACTACTAAATTATAAAAAGTCACGGAGCCTTCATGTCATTGATAGGAAGGCCAATATTTAAGATTCCTATTGACAGCACAGAGGCTTTACTATTTGTGTCTGTGCATGTATTTATATTCATTCATTCATTCATTCATAGATGATATCCCTTGTTTCTATGCAAAGATGGGACTCTCCTTTCTATTTCGTCCCTGCATCTTCCATGAAATTATTTAATTGAGACATTGTAAAGAAATGTAAAGTCATTATGCATTATGCTCTGTTGCTAGATACTATTATTATTTTACTTTATGTGTGAGGTTTTTTTATTAAAAGAATGGCATATTATGAATTGTTGGTTGCTTCCTTATTCTAAACACCAAATGCTGGTCCAGATATTATATTTACTCAGGAAGAATGTTTTCTTCTCTCTGTCACTGCTTGGAAGTCAAGGAACACTGATACCATGTGGGACATTACCATACCATCCATTCCTCCCCTTAAACATAATTCTATGATGAATCAGTTATATTGATTTGAAACATTTTATGGCAGAGATAAATATTCAAAGAATATACCAGAATGAAAGCAGAATACATTTCAAAGCAATATTCATTGAGCATGTTAGCTTGCAGTTTTTTGAATGACAATGATTATGGCCTATCCTGCTCTTCTCACTTATGACATACAGGGAATGAAAAAATCAAGATGCCATGCCTTGAAGCAACACACTTTTAAAAAAGCTGGTGCTTTGTATGATTGCAGCCTCCATCTTGATTTTTAACCTCCCCATAAGGTAAAGGTTTTCCCTGTCCAGTCATGTCTGACTCTAGGGGGCAGTGCTCATCTCCGTTTCTTAGCCAAAGGAGCCAATGTTGTCTGAAGACACTTCTGAGGTCATGTGGTCAGTATGACTATACACCAAGATGTATGGAACAGTTACCTTCCTACCAAGGTGGTGCCTTTTTATCTACTCACATTTGAATGTCTTCAAGTGCTAGGTTGGCAGGAGCTGGGACAGGTAATGGGAGCTCACCCCGTCACACAGCACTCGGGTCTTGAACTTGGGCTGTCAGCTTTTCAGCTGACAAGGTCAATGTTTTTAACTGCTGAGGCATTCCCCCCCCCATAACTCCTCTGATTACAGGTGAAGGATATTATAAAAACTAGTTGGCTGTTTCTGGTTCCTTCCCAGATGAATACTTTTAATAGCTTTTGGAAGACAATTCATAGTGTGTGCAATTACCTGCATTTTCTTGAAACTGTCACACTGGGCTGCCGAAACTTCAGTTCTTACAATGGTTGAAGGAACCATTAGATGCAGAGATGAAATAGTCACAGAGGTGGCTTTATACAAACAAAAGATTGCTCAATTTGTACGAACACTCTAAGAGGTTTTAATATATACAGATAATTTTAATGCATTTTCCCCATTTAAATTTTGATGGAGAAATGCTTCAATGCCTAGTCTTTATTTCTCTGCCTAATGGTTGAGCTGTCACCCTGAAGTTAAATTGATGGCATTATTTTTTTACAGCTGTTGTGCTGTTTTTTTTTAAACTTCAGCTGCTTCCTATAAT